GAGATAAAAGTAAAGTTTGAGAATTTAAGAGACAGAGACAGCAAGAGAGAAGGAGTAGAGAGCAAGAAGGAAAGAGCAAGAGGAGGAAAGAGAAGAATAGACAGAGTTTAATTATTTCACTGAGGGGATGGAAATAAAAGGTTGTAATATATTCTTGCAAGCGTTTTTACATTCTACACTGGGTTCTGCTTACAAGTATTCAAAATAATTGGAGAGGTATATCTAAATGTGGTCAGCTCTTCCAAAATCATTTGAATTACCCTCTCAATATGTAAATAAAGACCTGAAATAACTTTGAAGCGGTGGGTGGTAGTGGGTGGGCAGGTCAACATTTGCATCGGGGCCCACAAGCTTCAAGTTACTCCTCTGCATATACAATACAGTTGCGTTCTTTTGCATTACAGCCTTAGAGTCCATTTTAACACTTTTCAAAATATAGTTTAATAATGAAAAGGTAAAAATGGGTTAAATAAAATACAAAAAAAGCAAAGATATTACAAAGTAACAAAGAGATGACATTGCAGCAGAGAAAATAAAAAGGAGTTGAGGGTGAGAATACTTAACAATGTCCTGGTTTCAGCAAAGTCCAATGGATAAGCAAAGATGGTACAGTGGCTCTCTCAAGTCCGGTTAGGTGTTACTTGGTTTTATGTTAAACAAGAGCTCCCAAAATGTGGTTGCATTCCACTTTTCTTCACATCAAGGAGGGTGTAGACAGAGACCATCTGACCAATAATCCAGTCTAAGGGGTGGTTGCTAGGATATCACCACATTTATAACCATATCATGGCCCTTCCTTACACACAGTTTTATAATATTAATATCTTGTCATCAGGGGCGGACTGACAACTCATGGGGCCCCTGGGCAATAGGGGATCATGGGACCCCTGTGTCCTTGCCAAAACTCAAAAAAGCCTATGAAAAAGGTACCAGGGGCATCTCATGGGGCCCCCTACTGACCCTGGGCCCTCGGGCAGTGCCCGAGTTTCCAAATGGTCAGTCCGCCCCTGCTTGTCATGTGTACTGGTTGCATTCTGGAAAGCGGTAGATTATTGTTCAGCATTATATTTCGTGTTCTGGGGATACCAAACACAGAGTATATCGGATGGGCCTGTCATCCAGGAGGTAGGAAACTGCTATCACCCCTTCTGTATGCTCTAGCTTAGTCATGTATGACCTTGATTTGTTCGGCATGATATTCCTCGTTCAAATATATACTTAATGTTAATGTGTTGTGTTCCTGATTTTATGAATTGTGTGTAGATTTTGTTAAATTGTGAATGGGGCACAGGTCTCTGTAAGGTCGCCCCTGACCCTTAGTGCCTTTTTACCATACAATTAGTTCTGTTGAGACATTTTTAATGGAATGCTATGTATACCTAAAGGCTATGATTGCCCAACAAGCCACGGGTGACAGACCTGAAGGATTTTGCTATAGCTTTACGATAGGTCAGAGGGAAGTGTTAATCTGTAGATTTGTATGGTCAGCAGAAATTAACAGACATCCTTCCCGAACTTCAATTAGATATTTACAGCTCGGTAAATACCTGTGTACTGTGTCTGCTGTCCCTAAGTTGCGATAACAGGCTCTTTGAAATGTGACTAAGTTAAGACTATGAAGGTGCATTCCTAGGTATTTGCGGCTGCAATGTGTAACTGTTCTAACCTATTATTCTTGAACAACATGGCCACCAAACACAGCTTTTCATGTGCCCAGTATGTGACATCATTACATCAATAGCTTCTGCACCCAGGAACAGGTATTCAGAACAGTAGTTTGGACATTACTGGCTGCCTGATTGGTCCTAGTCAGTGCCTATTACAACCAGAGACAATCAGGAAACTACCATTTTCTGATGGATATCAGCAGTAAGCAGTCGACTTCTAGCTCTGAGGTTGGTGTTCATCCACATCCCTCAATGCTGTCCGCTCACCTTATCTAACCAAATCTTTGTCTGCAACCCTTGACTCTGAGGATTATATATTGAAGCTCCTGGGCTCTTCCAGAACAGGAATGAAGGTACATTGCACCATTTTTAATATCTTCAGTTATTGACAGATTGAAGTTAGTGCTGTAAGAAGCTTCCATCTTGAAATTTACTGTAATTTTATGGTAACCTGTTGTATTATTCACATTTTCAAGATGAGGCTTGCAAAACAAACAAGTCATATCTCACTGTCTGTGCTGATTTCTTTTATCCATTTGAAATTCATAGATTAGCTTGAGAGCTTGGAAACCTAATTTGGTTCGGTGTAATTTAAAACTTGCATATTTGAATAAGAGAGTACTACTCCATATTTCATACTGCAGTTAGGTAATAGCCAGAAGATGCAGTTGAAATGTAGTGCAATGTCGCCCTCGGCTGGCAGCTTTTAAGAATGGCATTGTGTTCACATCTAAAACAAAAAATCTAATTTCTGGCAGTACTTCTACAGTATCATGTAAATTGCATAGGTGCATTCACAAAGCTGTACTGATTTTATATTAAATGGAAATATTAAGTAAATATTAGTGATGACACTACTATAAAAGTTAATTAGGAGAGTGAAGCAATACGTAATTAAAAGCAGCTTGGAGGCATAATGGGTGACATTTACAAGTTCATCTACAGCCATAGAAGCTTAGGTGATAGCTGTGGAGCCCATTTGCAGTGACGGGTCAGTCCATGTTTGTTCACTGGATGTATTTATTATCTTTTTTAAAAAATTTTTCTTGGCTCTGATTACTGGCTGAGGAGTTGAGGAGCACTAACTAGTTTCCTGTGCATTGATCCATCCACTAAGATAGCTTAGTTTGAGCTCACCACAAAGGAGAAGCTCTTCCTTAGAACACAGCATAGGCTCAGCACAGCAGGAACTAATAAGGAGAACGTAGAGTCTCTGAGTAGCCTAGCCAGCACCTGAAGACCACAGAGTGACCCATTTAGAATACCTAGTTACAACTTTTATTGTTTGGTTACAGTAGCCAGTATTATTATGGTGTAGTTATGTTATGTTGCTGACAACCAGTGTTATCTTTGAAGGTCCGTGGTGTAGTAAATCACAGTCCCAAAACGTAACACCAGGTGCATAAAAAAGTGAGCACGCAAAAGTGAATGCACAAAAAAAGTGCACAGAGTGTACACATGATCCTCCTCCGAAGAGAAAGGACCGTAGCCCTGACAGTGATTGGGGTACTCATGGCCCACCTGTCCAAAACCAGGCAGGCCCCTTTTTTTCAGAAGGTCTACTGAAGCAAGGCCAACCCAAGTACTAGGTGCAGCTCCCCTGAAGGGAGACCCTATGGGACAGAGCGAACCTGACCAAAAGTTCACATGCCCTCCCCCCCAAGATGATCAGTGAGTAAAGTGCATACGCACTGTGCAAAAAGAGCATGTGACACACAACAAATAAAAAAGGGAAGGGTATATAGGTAAGTGTTTCAGATGTGCTAGACAGTAGTTGGGCCTTTTCAACCACAATAAAAAAATTCCCCGGCCCCAGCCAAAAGGTCCGGCCCCTGACGGCAGGTAAGAAAATGGTGCAGTGACCTTGGTGCCAAAAAACTTACCCCACCATGACAATTTACGGTACCCCTGGACTGCCACTCCGGGGGCATGTACACCACAGGCTTCTCTCAGCACATCCCCTGGCTAGACCAGCATAGCATCATTCCTATCAGGAAGGCATCAGAACTTAGGAAGCTTAGGAAGAGCTTTGCCTTCAGCCAGGGGAAGCCTGGTGCACCAGGTCAGAATCAACCCAAGAGGAAAAAAGTCCCTCCTGCCTCTCTTGCCATTCGCACCTTATTACATCAGGGATTATTAACTGGCACCCAGTTGGCGAAGAGAGTTAGGGTTCTATCCCCGACAAATGATAAGAACAGATATTACACTTGATCTTAGCCAAAAGGGAGACATTATTTGTCATTCGTCTTTGACCACCATTGCTGAGCAAGTGTAAGTAGAGGTGAATTATAAGACACCTGCAGCTGATGGCCTGTGGGTCATCTGTATGGCCTGTGGGGCCCCATGATTTCTAGTTGTGCTCCTGCATATTTATGTATATCTACCAAGTTCTGTGGACTATATTATAGATTGCTGTTGCTGCTGCTGATATGGTAAAAAAAAGTAGGTATTTTGTGATTTTTTTTTTAGCAATACTAGACAAAGTTAAAAATCCCCCAGAGCTCCCACCTGCTGATATTTACCCTAAAACACATAAGACCTTCTGGTAAATGCCACATATTCAGGATGATAGCCCCAAAGCCTACACCATTACAAAGACGCTGACACTTTTTTAATATATCTGAACCAAAAGCATCCCTGCAAAGGAAAGGATTAATGCTCACTGCTCCTGCCACCGCCAACCTGAGCTGTCTCCAAAGAGTCTTCAGCAAAACACCCATTTCCAGGAGTGTAGGATTCCTCTTCACACTGTCCTTCTTCCTCTACCTCTACCCCATACATCACTATGGGGTATAGCCAGGGGCGGACTGACAACTCATGGGGTCCCCAGGCAATAGGGGATCATGGGGCCCCTGTGTCCTTGCCCAAACTCAAAAAAGCCTTTGAAAAAGGTACCAGGGGCATCTCATGAGGCTACCTACTTACCCCGGGCCCTCGGGCAGTGCCCGAATTTCCATATGGTCAGTCCACCCCTGGGTATAGCTGTGACACAGCAGCTGGTGGAAAGAACTAGAACACCCAAAAAGAGACCATCAATTTATACTCCCAGAAATCTGTAGGAAGATTCTTCAGCCAGCAGAGCTCATGGAGCCAGCAGATATCAATACCTCTCACAGCAGTTGGGGTGAGTCTTTCCTCGACAGGGATGTCTTTCATTTGGATACTTAGTAAAGTGACAGTCACTTTAAAAAGAAAAGCTGTGAGGGCAACTCCCATATTTCTTTTATCACATAAAGAAACATGATCACTATAATTTTTGGAAGATCATTTGGTTCCGGCGTGGTGGTAAGCTTTTCATTCTTCCACTGACTCCTATTTAATTTTTAATTACAGGTTAGAATCACAGATGACTGCCGATATCCAAAGCATCCTCCAGCTCCTGCAGAGACAGGCTTCGGTGGTGCCACCGGCATACAGCATGGTAACAGCCAGCTCAGACTACCAGAGACCAACTGTTAGACGAGTACAGAGTGTACATTCTGGGGCATCCATCAAAACTGACCGCAGCTTCACTCCATCATCACAGGCAAGTTAGCAGCAGACTGGCAACAGAAGCATCGCAGAAAACATTTTTTGTACCTTTTTTCTTATTTATAACTTTGTTTTATTTCAGTTTCTTTCAAATGTTTTCCTGTTGAATCAGTTAAAATTCGAGCTGAGGTTGGCTCTGTTGGCACCACCCAGCCTAACAGAATTTGTTCGAACAATTGAAGAATCTAGGTAAAAAATGTTTGGCCAATGGTGATTGCGTCCAATCCACTAACAACAAACAGGGAATATTACTCCATCCACGCAGTCTAGCATGGATGAGGGAATCAACTGATCTTCTCTTCAGCTCGTTAGCACATGAGCACTGTGACACATCTCCTTGTGCTGCTTTTCCTCTCCCTATCTGAGTTCTGCTGTACAGCGGCTACATGAGGCTGATAGCCGACAAATAAAAGATTTCCCAGCACACTTACCAGCCAGCCTGCAGAACAACTGAATTGCCTTAACAGTTTATGTTAACAACTGAAGGCTTTGTTTGCACACATTTTCAAATATATGCGTAAGCCACAGTGCCCATGACAAGGGACCTCAGTATATAATACAGTCCTAACGATATGATTTTCAGAGCCTCAATAGTAGGAGCACATATAAGAATGGATCGGTTGAGAGCAGGTGTGCTTGGAGGATAGGAGGGACATCCCCCCCCCCCCCCCCCCACACACACTTTAAAGGCACAGGAACGCATGTGACACCCAGCAATAGCACAGTGACAGCGAAGGCATCCAGTGCGTCCCTGCACACAATTCAACCAATTTTACAAAAAATGGCAACCGCCGCATTCTGTAACTAGCCTTTACAGCAAGGTACACATGGAAGATCAATGTTCCTTCTATCCTCCAGGCACACCTGCCCTCAGCCTATCTATTGTTATATGGGCTCCTACTATGGAGGCTTTGAAAGTTATAGAGCTTAGGATCCCAGACTATACGGAGGTACCTTGTCATGGGCACTGCGGCTTATGCATATATTTGCAAATGTGTACAAACAAAACCCTCTGTTTTTAATGTAAACTGTTAGACAGGGCAATTTGGTTGTTTGCAGGCTGGCTAGTAAGTGTGCTGGGAAATTTTTTGTTTGTTTGCGATGTGCATTGCCCTTCCATGTGCACCTTACTGTAAAGGCTAGTTATAGGTTGGCGTGGTTGACATTTTTTTGCTACATGAGGGTGTTACCAATTTCATTCAGTTACTTACACTGTTTACAAAAAAAAAAATTGATGCACTATTAAATTCAGAGAGCTGCATTAATTAACGCCTGTATATCTGCCTGGAGTCACATCATTAATGCTACAATTAACAACACAGTTGGGTTCCTCAGAGAATAACACCACTCCACGTCAGGCCACCACATAACCCTGTTGTAATAGGCGCTGATCCAGCTCACAATCTTCTAATATAGGAATGATCTTGTAGGAAAGATTTCACACCAATTTTCATAGAAGCCAAATACTTTATTGTAGTAATCCAAAAAATTCAGGCAACATGACAGCAAAAACAGGGAAAGGACCTATTGACGTGTTTCATGCCCAACAGTCATAAAATTGTCCATTCTTACCTGATATTTCCCTTTATCATTACTTCCTTCCAGCATGCTTTCCACCTCCTATATTGGGGAAATTTGCCATAGCTTCCTGTTTTGGTGAGTGGACAGGAAGTGCAGGGAAATATACTCAGTGGGGATTCAAAAAGTAGGAAAACCTGGCAGAGGTTCCCATCTTTCTTCAGCTATCCAAAACAATGCAACAAAGATTACAGTAAAGTTTTATAAGCACATTTGAAACATGTTTCAGTTTTGTTGCTTAACTATTTATTAAGATTCGTCACTGGCTTCTAGTATTGAAGATGTAACTTGGTATGAAGTTTGACAGAATTCCAGTTTCTTGCTTTCCAGCACTCTTGTAACAGATGCAGCTCATTATAACATATATGTTATATACACATATGTGCAATGTGAGGAGACACAATGTAATCTATCATGTATTGCAGTGGAGTGTAGTATCTGTACCAGGGGCGGACTGACCATTTGGAAAGTTGGGCACTGCCCGAGGGCCCGGGCTCAGTAGGGGGCCCCATGAGATGCCCCTCGTACCTTTTTCATAGGCTTTTTTGAGTTTGGGCAAGGACACAGGGGCCCCATGATCCCCTATTGCCTGGGGGCCCCATGAGTTGTCAGTCCGCCCCTGATCTGTACTACTTCCAAAGACCTTCCTTTCTTACCCGTAATTCTCCCCTCCACTCCTCTTCTTAGCTCGTTCTGCATACTCTTCCCTTAAGCTTCTGTCCTTGTACTATTTTTATACTTCAATATTTTTATTGAAAAATTGGAAATTGGTATACAGTGGTATACACAGAAATAGAAAAAATTTCCACCTGCATGGTTAAATGGAGTGCATAAACATATTCATAGAACATATAAGCACATGAAAATAAATATTATTAGTCAATGACAATATATACAGAGAACACATCTCCACCAGGTAACAAACGTTACATCAATCATTGAACATAGGCATTGCCATAGAAATTTACCAAAAGTATAAAAACCAATTCAGGAAAAAAAAAAGGATTAAGAATAAAGAAAACAGGAAAAGAAAGATCTAGGATAAGACAGAAAAGAGGGGGAGAAAAGGAGAGAGAAGGAAAAAAAAAAAGACACCCAAGGGGGAGAGAGAGAGGGTCAGCTGCAGCACTATTAAGATATAGATATATATCTGATCCATGGTTCCCACGTCACCTCAAAACTAGAAACATCATTATTGACCGTGCTTGCTTGTACTATTTTTTAATTTCTTTTTTGTCTGCAACCTTTTTCATTTTCTTACATGGTCATTAAGAGATCCTACTTTCAAGATACCCCTCCTTTCCTTAAAATATATTTTTTCCTTTCTCAAGTTTCAAGCCTAGCAAATGTTTATAGCAGTTTGTGCAGTGCTTTACAATACACAGTAAAAGCAGACAGTATACAGCTGCAATACAAATCAAGAACAAACAGCTAGGAGGGCCCTACTTCGGAAAGCCTAAATGGGAGGGACAAGTGATACAAAAAAGCAATAACTGTGTGGGGATCAGTTGATGGAGACAGTAAAGCATAGCACACACAATGAAAAAAAATGGACTAAAAAATTGTTTTCAGAGCGATCGTCCGATAATCCGATCGTTAGTACATAGTTTTCGAGAGTTGATAACGACAGTTCATGTGAAATTATCCAAAGGGACAAAAATGAAAACTTTTCTCGTAACATAACAGAGCAAACAATTTTAATTTAATCAGTACAGTATTTGTTCCTAAAACATTGAGTGAACAAGACCACGCATGCTGGGAAATGAAAGAATACTTTACAATACATTACATCATTGCCAGAAATCATATTCTGTCCTACGAGAATTGTCATAACTCTAACCTATTTGTTTTCGATATGAGACTAGCATGTAAAAAAAAAAAACGGACAGTCATTGAGAGTAGGAGATAGCCAGATATATTGGATTAGGAAGTTCTAGAGGAAGAGAGAAGCTCTGGAGATGCCTTGGTGGAGATCATTGGAGAAGGTAATGAGGGAGTCATGGGAAAGCTGAATTCCAGGTATGGTTTGGATGTTAACAGACACGGATATAAAAGGATGTCAATGGATGATCATATGCTTACATCCCCTTGCCTATAGAAATGCTGAAAATGGACAAATGGAACGCCCGTGTGAAAGGGGCCTGAGACAAGCCAGAGCTAGGACAAAAAATACAGCAGGATAGTAAATCAATCTCAGTAATATAAGTTTAACTCCCCAGCATGTTGTCCCATGTGCCCATGCACACATAGACTGTAATCAGCGTTTTCTGGCAGGGGCGTTTGTTGGCTGGAAAAAAACCCAGAACCAGTGGGCTTCTAGAGAAGGTTTTTAGCTGTAAAAATGCCATAACGCTGAAAAACTGAGTTTTTGGATATTTTTTTTGAGCAAAAGAAAAAACATTTTTTTGGTAGAAAAAACGCTTATAATCACTAAACACTAAGCGCTAATGCAAAAACACTAAAAACCACTGAAAAACACATTTTTAAAGTGACTTTACACAGCTAACATTACCAGCATTATAAAACACCCCCGTGTGCATGGAGCATAAAAGTTTTAATTTAAATCATTGTATCATTGGTCATAATACAATGGATTAAAGGACAGCAAGGCAGTGGTTAAATCAATGTACCAATGATGATAATACTGAAGACTACAGGGTAACAAATGAAGACAGGGACAGAAGGCAGTGGTTAAATCGATGCACCTGTGAAGGAGTAGAGAAGATATGATGAGAAGACGAGTGCATGATGGTAAACTGCCATATCACTTAAAGCGGAGCTCCACCCATGCTTTAAGGACTGCTCCTCCGCTCCCCATTAAGGATTGGGGGGAGTGGGTAACCGAATTTGACAGGTACCCGCTCCCACTTCCAGTTCGATCACCTAGGGACAGATGTCTTTGCCAAGGCACAGTGTGTGTCTCCTAGCATTACAGTACACAGCAGTGGTGTCCCAAGGCAGGTGCAGGGGGTGTGGTCTGCTCCGGGTGACACCAACCTCACGGGGTGACACCAGACCCGCTCCACGAAAAGGTAAGTTGTAAAGCAAGCAGACGATCCCCACAGGATGAATCCGATCCAACCGATCCAGGGATCGTCGGCTTTCCTTACAACTTACCTTTTCGTGGAGTGGGTCTGTTGTCACCCCGTCAAGGGCAGACTGACCATACGGGCACTCTGGCACTGCCCGAGGGCCGGGGCCAATAGGGTGCCCCATGAGGGGCTTTGTCACTGCCCCTCTACTTGTTCCTGAGCATTAGTCATACAGCTGTCTCTGTACAGGGTGCTCTCCTCAGCAGCTTCCTTTAAGTCCCCGTAGATCAGTGACGTGAAGGTTCCCACACACACACAGATCCCCTAACGGCCTGAGGACAGAACGGAGACAGAGAGCACAGAGAGCGCCTGTCCAGCCGCAGAACAGGGAACACCCCCTCCGGGAAAGCCGTGCATGGCAAGCTCCGCCCCTCCTCTGCAGCACGGCCACCAGGATCACTCACTGCTCTGGCTCTTCAGCACTGCTGTGAAAGGGGCTATGAAGGTGGCAGATTTAACACAGCAGCTCTAGATCCTGCCTGAGACTAGGTGAGAGTAATCTGGGGTCATAGTTGTGAGTAGCAGACATACTGAACATCCCCCTCACTCCCCCTCTCTCTCTCACCTCTGTCCCTCTCTCTCACTGCGCCACACCCCTCCTCTCTCTCTCTCTCTTGCCCATCTCTTTCTTGCCCTCCCCCCTCGCTCTCACCCCCCTCACTCTATCTTTCAGCCCCCCTCTCTCTCACCACCTCTCTTTTTCACCCCCTTCTCTGTCTTGCTGCCCCTTCTCTCTTGCCCGTCGCTTTCTCTCATTCTCACCCACACCATTCCTCTCTCACTCCCCTTTCTCTTTCTCACCCCCCTCTCTCTTGCCCCCATCTCTCTCTCACCTTTCTCATCCCCCTCTCTTTCGCTTTCTCAGCCTCTCTCCCACCCCCCCTCTCTTACCTCCTCTCTCTCTTACCTCCCTCTATTTCACCTCCCCTCTCTCTCACCCCCCCACCATTCCTCTCTCTCTTGCCCCACTCTCTCTGACTCCCCTCTCTTTTACACCCTCCTTACTGTCTCACCCTCTTTCTCTTTCTCTCTCTTGTCCCCCTCTCTCCTCCTCTCTCTCTCTTTACCCCCCTCTCTCCTATTCCCCTTTCACTTACCCCCCTCTCACCCCTCCTCCCTCTCTCTTACCTCCCTTTCTCTCACCCCCCCCCCCTCTCTTTCCCCCCTCTCTCATCCTCCTCTTTTTCTCCTCTCTTTCCCTCTCTCTGTCTTCCCGTCTCTCTCTTCCTCCTTCTCTCTCGCCTTCCTTCTCTCTCACCTTCCCTCTCTCTATCAGCCCCCTCTCTTTATCATCCCCCTTCTCTCTCTCATCCCCCTCTCACACCTGTCACCCCTCCTCTCTCTCACCCCCCCCCCCTCTCTTCCTTACCCCTTTCCCCCCCTCTCACTCACTCCCTCTTTCTCTTTCACACCCTCTCCATCTTACCCCCCTCACCCCCTCTCTTTCTCACCACCTCTTTCTCTTTCAACCCCTCTCCATCCTACCCCCCTCAACCCCCACTCTCTCTCACACACACCCCTCTCTCACTTCCCACTTTATCTCTCACTCCACTCTCTCCCCCCCTCCCCTTTCTCCATCTCTCTCCTACTTTGCCATCTCCCCCATCCCTCTCTCTCTCCCTCCCTCCTATTCCTATCTCTCCTCCCCCCTCTCCTCTTCTGTCTCTATCCCTCCACCCCACTCTTCACCTCTTTAATATGTAACAGGAAATTCTGTCATAATTCAGAATCTCAGTAGAAAAATGCACTGTCAGTGAAGTTTCCATGTAAAAAAAAAAAAAGTTGTGGAGAAGTTGGCAACCCTATCAGGAAGGAGCTGAGTGGGAGCTGAATGCCCAAACAAAGCAATTAAAATTATTGTAAAGGCAGATGCGTGCGCCACACTTTTTTAATCTAGTATTAGGGCCCAAGTTTTGATCTTGTACACAGGCCCACTGGTTTCATAAAACTCCCGTTTGCATCAGAAAGATAGCTGCTGCACGTTGTCCATCTTTAAACCTGAAAGTGCCCATTGGCTTCTACAGAAGGAAGCCAGGAACTTCCAGGCAGGCTATGCTGCAGTGGATATTTAAATGCCCCATCTATGCAGCGGATTTATAATAACCAAATGATCAGGCTCCCAGAGATTCCTGGAGGCATGGTTGGGAAGCCAACGGGCACCTGACAGGTTATCAGATGGCCGCCACCTGTGAACTTGTCATGTCTTCAGTGGCTTCCCAGCAATGGCAAGGGGAATCTCTGTGAGCCTAAGCTGCAGACTAGAATTGGGCATTGGCTCATTCCTAAACATGAAGGCGCAACAGCTTCTGCAGTTTGCTGATGGGCCCTTCTGTGCAGCTGGGATGCAATACTCTTGTACCAAATTGTGTTATAACTGTACTGTCTACTTTCATTTTGTAAAGCGCTGTGCAAACTGTTGGCGCTATATAAATCCTGTATAATAATAATAATGTGGAGGATGCTGCAACAAATGCATGTAATGTAGGCAGTGCAATATGTAGGTGGAGCTTTGTGTAGGTGTGGCTTGAGTGTGGGTGGGGACACATGGGGCCCCATGATCTCCTATTGCCCAGGGGCCCAATGAGTTGTCAGTCTGCTCCTGCAGCCCGTATAGGTTGCATGCCGGCGATCCCTGCAGGATAGATGGGATCTGTGGATTGGGGAGCATAATGGATCAGACTACAATCCATTGTGCTCCCCAATCCGCAGATCCGAACCATCCTGCGGTGATCATCGGCATGCTACCTATACAGGGTGACACCGGACCCACTCAATGAAAAGGTAAGTTGTAAATAAAGCTGATGATCCCCGCAGGATGGATCAGATCTGTGGATTAAGCATTATGGATTGGAGTCCGATGCATTATGCTCAATCCGCAGATCCGATCCATTCTGCGGGCATCGTCGGAGGGGGTGTCACCAAGTGTTACCGCACCGGGTGACACCAACCCTAGGGACGCCTCTGGTACACAGGCTGTCATCTAACGATTCTGAGAAAGATAGCTGGAGCTACACAGAAGTTAGCCTTCAGCAACCACCTCAAATATCTGATATTTCTATATCATTTCTATACTATTTGTTTATTCATGTTATCATACCATCATAGGTTACTTAACTGCAGTGACCATCTTCCACCAACACATGAGTATCACAGACATATGATATTGCTGATGCTGACAGCGAGAATTGCATATAGGAGAACCAGCAGCAACGTCTGCAAATATGTCAATGTTTTTCATTCCTTTGCTTGCTATTTATTAAGTCATGTGACCCCTGATGGTCACATAAATGAACAAATAGTAGCAAAAGGATTTAGAAATTCCTCTTTTTTTCTAATTTCACATCCTGTCCTTCTCTACCTTACCCTATCTTCCCATTCTGTCGTATCCGTCTTTGTGCTGCCTGGCTATTTATATGTCTATGTATGGGCATCTTTACATTTGTTTAGGCATTCTCATGTTTATTTCTTTTGTTTGTTTGTATTGCTGTGACACAAAATATGGTGAAACAAAAAGCCAAATTTGACACATTCCAAACTCCAAAAATGGACTGGAAAAGATTATCGGTACCTTCTCAAAACTCTCAAAACTGTAAGAAATAATTGCATTCCAAATTTGTGATGCTCCTGTAATTTGTAATTAAACTCACCTGTACCAATTAACAGGTGCTAACAATATAGAAACACACTGGCAACCAGGTAAATTGGTGCAAAATTTACTCAACCTTACTGTTATGTGTTATGTGTCTGTTATGTGTGCCACATGGAGCATGGAGACAAGAAAGAGCAGCAAAGAATTGTCTGAGGATTTGAGAACAAATATTGTGGAAAAGCATAGACAATCTCAAGGTTACAAATCCATCTCCAGAGATCTTAATGAGTCCACTGTGTGCAACATCGTCAAGAAGTTTACAGCCCATGGCACTGTAGCTAATCTCCCTGGATGCGGATGAAAGAGAAACATTGATCAAAGATTGCAACAAAGGATTGTTTGAATGGTGGCTAAAGAACCTCGATCAACTTTCAGACAATTCAAGCTGACCTTCAGGCACAGGGTACAACTGTATCGGCTCGCACTATATGTCGCTATCTGAATGAAAAGGGACGCTATGGTAGGAGACCCGGGAGGACCTCACTGCTGACACAAAAACATAAAAAAGACAGATTGGAGTTTGCCAAAACTTAACTGATGAGGCCAAAATCTTTTTGGGAGAATGTGCTTTGGACAGACAAAACAAAATAACAACTTTTTGGTAAAGCCCATCATTCTACTGTTTTCAGAAAAAGCAATGAAGCTTTTAAAGGAAAGAATACATTCCCTACAATCAAACATGTTGGAGGTTCACTGAAGTTTTGGGGTTGCTTTACTGCTTCAGGCACTGGATGTCTTGACCGTGTGCATGGCGTTATGAAATGTGAAGACTATCAAAGAATTCTGAGGTGCAATGTAGGGTCCAGTGTCAGAAAATTGGATCTCCATCAGAGGTCATGGGTCTTACAGCAGGACAATGACCCAAAGCACATGTCGAAAAGCACCCAGTAATAGTTTAAGACAAAGTGCTGGAGAGCCCTATACTGGCCAGATTTTAATCCCATAGACCACCTGTGGAGAGATCTCAAAACAGCAGTTGGGAAAAGGAACCCTTCCAATCTGAGAGACCTGGAGCAGTTGGCGAAAGAAGAGTGGTCCAAAATTCCAGTAGAGAGCTGTAAGAAACTCATTGATGGTTTCAGGAAGCGATTGTTTTTTTTTTTTTCCCAGAGGTGTGCTACCAAATTTTAAATTGAGGGTGCCAATAATTTTGTCCAGTCCATTTTTGGAGTTTTGGGTGGAATGTGTCAAACTTGGCTTTTTGTTCCTCCACTGTTTGTGTCATACCAATACAAACAAAAGAAATAAACATGAGAATGCCTACATTTTTGTAATTGCTGGGTGAAGTGGTACATTATCTGACAGAAATGCAGGGGTTCCAATATTTTTGGTCATGACTGTATAGCAGTTTTTGCCAAAATTAGAGTTGGCTTTTATTTTGATACATTGCATTTACAATTCTGTATTCCAACCCACAGAGTCCGGAATTTGTAGACTTTGAAAAGTCCAGACCCAAATCCAAAGAATCCCTCTCCAGCGGAGTTCATCTCAACACGGCGTCTGAGGACAACTTGACGTCACTTCTAGATCATGACTGCGACTCTCCAATTGAGCTACAGGCTAGGCATTGTCCATCATATCTTAACCCAGTGAGGCACACTTCGCTGCCAGATTCTTCCATACACAACAGAGGGGCTATGTCCCTCCACAGGCATGAATCTGACCCAGGTCTACCTGGCAAATAATCCAAAAATTTAAAAAAGGTTCATTTTCTAAGTACCTTCAATTATATTGTAAGTGCTTTTAACGGCTGTTTTCCTCTTTGTATTTAAAATCCTCTTTACTTGACTCAGGGGCAAAGAAATGATATCTAATATGCAAAAGTACTGTATATTTTGATACATTTGAAGCTTACTAAAGGTACATTTGAAAAACAAAATATAAGTCATGATGTAACATCATGTAAAGACTGTATGCTTAAAATAACATAATACTGCCAGCATCACAAGGCACCTTATATTTTTTTTATTTGTTTTTTTTTTTTAACTTGCATGTTATAGCGTCTGTTTTTATCGCATGTAGAATGATATTAAATTATTTCACGGACAGGTCATGTTCTTGTGTGAATGCTTTTAGTCGACCACGTCCGAACCATTCTGTTTTAGGCGCACGCAGACCGTTACTTATATTTGCACACTCACAGAGTAATTTATTTTGTTTAGCTTTTATGGCAAAAAAGATGAGTGAGATACTGTAGGAGTATGTGATTGATTAATTGTTGAACACTGGTCGTCCTCAGAAACCTGCACAGCATGCTGGGAATGTGGCCAGTAATACAACTCTGGTCTAACTTGAGTGTAGGCTGACCTTCCAGAATTATTTATTTATTTATTTTTATTCTCCCTGCCTTATCCCTGTATGGCAAGATGAAGGGGTTCTTATTCCCCTACTATGCTAGCGAGCATCAGCTGGACCGTTTTGGTGGTGTTCCCATCTATACTATTATTGATTACCATTTGGTTTGACCGTATCTGCGACACCAGATTTCACAGATAGGTGATGCTAAGTTTGAATCCTGGAATTATGATGCTGAAGAGACTCAGGCTGTGTGTGAAGGGGGTTCAATTTTTAAGGATCACAAAGCAAAGAACCTGTGTAAGACTATAATAGAGTTATTTATTATTGCAAAGGTATTTTGTTTTTTCCCTTTCGTTTGATGATGTAGGAACAACACAGATGGTTCTTATTTGAGGCATACCTATAAATAAGGCCCTTTGTTATTATTTAGGGTCGTCCAAGGCATTGACTAAGCTATACTATATGGCCAAAAGTTTTGCAGATGGCTGATCATCATATCTACCTAAATGTCCAAAATGATGTGGGTACCACTCTAAGTTCAGGTGTTTCTAGTAAAGGGCACTGTTAATGCTACACTATACAAAGACATTTTAGGCAATTTGTACATTGTGGCAAAAATTGCCCTTTTCCGTTCCAGTATGACTGTGTTCCTATGCTCAAAGCTATATCAACTCCTGCAGGGCTTTTTCTGCTGCCATGTGTCTCCTACAGGAAGTGTCCCCCAATCCTGATACAATTATGACAGACTCATGTTAGCTATTTTCTGTCAACATACAGTTGCACTGAGAATTCCCTAGAGTGGGTGAGCAAGTTGTCAACTGCCCCGTTAACAAGTTCTCATTGAGACACCGCTGTCGGGTGCATCTCTCACCCATAAATAGTACTTAGCCCAGCAAAAATTTAGGCTTGGCCTGTCTTGGTGGCAACGTTTTGAGCTTAGTGGAGAACTCTATATTTGTAGCCTGGACAGTACTGAAGAAGACCCAGCAAGTGGCTACACATTGTCCTGCTCCACATGCATATATAAAGTCCTATGAAAACTGTTGTGTTTATTTGTTCCTAATATGTATAGACAGTGGCAGATAAGGTGGGAAAAGTGAAATTGCAATCATGAGTAGAATAATTGTAGTGTGCTCACATCAAGTTTCAGATGCATGGCCCTTCAACAGTGGGAGTTATACATAGGGTATTTCAGTAAGGATGGGGTAACTGTACCCACTTGTCACATAATGTCATATAATGAGCCTGACATTCTTACAAACCACTTATTGTGCAGCCAAACTGCAGTTTGCATCACCACTGACTTCCTTTGTCTTGAATTTGGACACGTGTAGTTTGTCTGGTCAGAGAGAGGCATTAGTGTGTTTTCTCTAGCTGAATAAAGTAAGGTACAAATAGAAGGACATAAAAAAAATTAAAAAAAAACAGAAGAAAAAGATGTGATACCTTCCAGAATCAGAAACTTCTAGGTTCCTAATTTTCACGCTGGGAGGGATGTGGATTTGATGAGGTTGTATTGTTGCTGAGATCGGTAGATTCAGGAGCACGTATTTAATTTCTTAGATGTTGGGATGTGTGATGTTAACTAATATAAACATTATAATATGCTTTTTTTAATTTGCATTGTCATTCTCAGTTCATAATATCAGGTTTAGAGGTCCAGTCTGACTTTTACCTGAACTAGGCCTCAAGATTTTCATGTGGGATTCTAAGATGTTCCCAGGCTAGAGTCCAATTGTTCAGGGTATGAAGACCTATCCATGTAAGATGTCCAAAATACCTTGCTGGCTCTTGACATTGTACAGGATTTCATTATACATATCCAATACCTGTATCCTGATCTCTTTGTTTCCAGGACCATTGCTGGCACTAATTTTGAGGTATTGGGATTTTTTGGGATATTGTATATACCCAGTTTATTGTGCAATTGGTCAACCAAGGTCCATTTCCATCCTCAAAACCTGAGATTGTCTCTAAAAATAAGGACAAATGACAAATGTGTTAGAACTGTGTACATTTCCCAGTTTACTCTATCACAGTAGTTGTGAGTTTAGAATTTGTTAATTTTGAATTTCAGAAGCGTACTGAATGATGGACTGAACAACATAAGGGATGAACGACCTGAAAGGTTTCATTCACCTCTTAAAGCTGAATGGTTCATTGAAGTAGGCCCTTTTATGCAGTTTACTTCCACCTGAAATCCTATAGACTTTACAAAAAAAAAGATGGTTAATTAACATATCCCTGGTATAACATTCAAATTTGAACTTTTGATCCATTTATATTTTATTTGAACTATTTTACCTAAAAAAAAGTTTAGCAGTTGCCATTGATCCTTTTGATTGTTTGACCTGTAGTACCATTCCAGGTAGCTCCATTTACGGGCTCACTGAGTGGGTTCTGTATACCATCCATATATTATGAGATTTGTATCAGTGATGTTCTTACAGTATCTTTCCTGTGTTTGGTGTAATATTGCCTAAAATATGACTAGCATAGGGACAATAATGTCTTTTTCAGGTCACGTCCTTCGAGGAGTAGTCTATTAAGTTGGTGGTGTTGAAGTATGTTAGGGTCAGGATTGTACTCCTGTTCAGCTAAGCCAATGATATAAACGATCATTTCAGTCACTTCTGTGGCAAAACTCATTGCTCTACCCCAGTGGTGGGCAACCTTTTTTTTCAACTGAGCCAAATCTCGCCAAAACCATGATTGAAATTTATTTTGAGAGCCACATTTTTTAAAACTGAAAATACATCTCCCATATAGTAATTCATCCCCCATAGTAATTCATCCCCCATATAGTAATTCACCCCCCATAGTGTAATTCATCCCCCATAGTAATTCATCCCCCATATAGTAATTCATCCCCCATCGTAATTCATCCCCCATAGTAATTCATCCCCCATATAGTAATTCATCCTCCATATAGTAATTCATCCCCCATAGTAATTCATCCCCCATATAGTAATTCATCCCCCATAGTAATTCATCCCCCATATAGTAATTCATCCCCCATAGCAATTCATCCCCCGTATAGTATTTCATCCCCCGTATAGTATTTCATCCCTCATATAGTATTTCATCCCTCATATAGTATTTCATCCCCCATATAGTATTTCATCCCTCATATAGTATTTCATCCCCCCATATAGTATTTCATCCCCCCATATAGTATTTCATCCCCCCATATTGTATTTCATCCCTCATATAATAATTCATCCCTCATATAGTATTTCATCCCTCATATAGTATTTCATCCCCCTATATAGTATTTCATCCCTCATATAGTATTTCATCCCTCATATAGTAATTCATCCCTCATATAGTAATTCATCCCTCATATAGTAATTCATCCCTCATATAGTATTTCATCCCCCCATATAGTATTTCATCCCCCCATATAGTATTTCATCCCCCATATAGTAATTCATACCTCATAAAGTAATTCATCCCCTCATATAGTATTTCATCCCCCCATATAGTATTTCATCCCTCATATAGTAAGTCATCCCTCATATAGTATTTCACCCCCCACAGTACTATCCCCCCCCCCCTTCTAGTAAGCCAAGTCCCCCGTGTCAATTCACTTACCTTTTGCGTTCCTCTCGCTGTCTTCCCGCGCCGTTCGGGTCTTCAGGCGGACTGTGAGAGGAGCCTAGCTCCCCTCCCCTCACGTTCGGCACGCTGCCCCCGCCTACACACATCCTGACAGCCACATCCGCGGGCCGGATTAAAAGGTCCGCGCGGACTTTGGGGCTGCCAACCGAGAGGAGGCAGGGGAGCGGCCGACTGAGAGGAGGGAGGGGAGCGGCCAACCGAGAGGAGGCAGGGGAGCGGCCGACCGAGAGGAGGGAGGGGAGCAGGAGCCCGGCACACAGAAGAGCCGCATTAGAGTGGGTAAAGAGCCGCATGTGGCTCGCGAGCCGCGGCTTGCCGACCACTGCTCTACCCCATACTGGGGATATCAGAAATTTCAAATACATTGTATAGGTCTGGCACTTACTGGAAGCATAGCTTAGGTGTCCCAGAACTCCAGGGAAACCGCTAAATACATCTAAATAGATACAAGGGAATATCTTTGGCTGTCAAACAATTTGCATTTCTATCCACTCATTCCTAAGATTTACACAGCCCTGCAGCATAGCAAAGCCAGGCAGATAACACCACTTTCTCTGTTAGTTTATATTGAAGGAATGCAGTAGTGTCATCTTTCCACCCTCAGTCTGTTGACTGGATGGTGAAAGAGTAGCAGAAGACTGATTAGGTCATCTCTCTGCTCTCTATTCTCTATTCCATTCAACATGTATCCTTTTCAGTAGATTTGCATGTAGCA